GGCACCGAGCCGTTCACTCCCAGGGCATGAAATATGTCACAGCACCTGCCCAGGGCGGGCTGCCACACGGAACAGGACGACAGAAGAGCAACGACGCTCTTCTTCCGTGGCACCCAACAACCATCCAAACTAAATGTAAAAAGCCAGAAGCACCTGAGCGCATGTGGTGATGCACACCTGTAATCCCATTCTTAGGAAGCTGAGGCGGGGGTGTCACATGAGTTTGAGACCAGCCTGGGCTACACAGTGAGACCCTGTCCCTAAAAATTCAAATAAAATATAACTCGACTTCAAAAATCCAGAAGCAAGACAAGGGTTCTGTGTGCCGCAGAAGAGGGCTTCAGTCAGCCTGCACATAGTGCTGGCATTTACGCAAGCTATATCTGGAAAGATACTCGGGGCACTGATGGCTACGCTGGCCCTCGGAGGGGGCAGAGGAGTGACTGGGGACAGATACGACAGATGACTCTTCAGTCTTTAGAATCTGAACCCGGAAGTCAGTGTTATCGATCACCTCCAGAAACTTCCAAATGGCTGTTGCAGAATGACAGAACCGAGAGGCAGAAGTCGGGGAAGCAGCATTCGGCTCCAGGGGCCGAGTCTGGCTCTGAGTGGCCTTGCGCTGGCCGACTCCATCATCCTGCAAACCCATGAGCATCCACAACAGGCCGCGGCCCCACCAGGTACCGCGCAGCCCTGACTGCCGTGCGTGCTGTCTGCCCTGGGGAGGAGAGGGGCACCAGACACACAAAAGGCTAACCTGGAGGTGGGGGCCCCTCTGAGAAAATAACCAAATACATCAGCAAGGAAGTCGTGATAGCTATTGAAGTTACAACTGTTCACGTGGGCAAGGTGAAAACTATACAAATAGGCACAGGTGTGTTTTCAGCGGTTGAGATGCTGGGTGAAGCCACATTACATTCACAAGGCAAACATGACAGAAATTGGTGACTGGATGCAAATGGAGGGGGTTCTCAGCTTGGACAGCTGGAAGAATCAAGAGGCCATTTATTGTGGTGGAAAGTTTCCAGGGTCAAAAAGCTCAGCTGATTAAAGTGCCTGCAAGGGGCTTACTGAGACAGCAATTGAGACTGGGCGTAGTGGCACGTGCCTATAATCCCAGCTCTTAGGAGGCTGTAAACAGGCGGATCAGTATGAGTTCAATCTAGTAGTGAGACCCTGAACACCCTGTAGGCCCTTCCCTAAAATACAAAAAAGGAAAAAGAAAGAAAAGAAAAAGAAAATTTCCAGGGTGGCAAATGCTTTAAGACAAAAAGAGGACACCGCCTTAACAGCTGGTCCTCGGATTCCACATCCATGGACTCAACTGACAGTGGATTGAAAAGACTTGAGAAAAAAACTGAACACATGTTCAGTTTTACGTGTACCTGAACACATAAGGCTATTTTTTTCTCGAGGTCATTCACTGTACAGTAGCGTGACGCCTATTTACATAGCATTTGCATTCCACTGGTTTTAATGAGCAATCTAGAAATGATTTAAAATGTGCAGTGTGGGAGTATGCATGCATTATATGCAAACGTTATGTCACTCTAAGACACTTGCATATCTGTGGGTCTTGGTGTCCAAGGGGTCCTGGAACAGGTCCCCCAAGGCTACTGAGGGACAACAATGACCTATTTTGTAAACTTGTACCCTCATACATATATCCTCACCTTGATAACCAAATCACACACGCACAAGGACAGAAAAAGAAAGGGAGGTTAAGGGCGCGGCTCTCGCACTAACAGGTAGGTCCGGTAAAGAAAGAAAACCTCACAGAAAGTCAGTCGGCGTCGCGCTCCCTGAGGTCCTAGGCGCGGCGCTGCAGCACCGGGGACTCACCTTCCTCGCGCGCCTCCTCCATCTCCGCCCGCCGCGGCCACGTCGCCGCCCGCCCTCCTCCGTGGAGGGGCTGCCAGGAGCCGCTGCGGGGGAAGGGGCAGGTGAGCAGGGCTGGGCCGCGGGACCAGCTCCTCCGCCCCGCGGCGCAGGCCGCGCAGCACGCCCCGGACGGAGAAGCTGAGGGCGGCTCAGGGCGAGCTAGAGGTGGGGTGGAGGCCACGAGGAAAGACGGTGCGCGCGCGGGGCCCCCTCGGCCGCGACCCGAGCCCCGCGGAGGAAATAACGGATTTCCAGGGCCGCGGCGGCTCTGTCCTCCCGCTCCCTGTCCCCCGGCTCGGGCCCAGGTCCCGCTTTGGGGGCGTGCGCCCTCCCCGCCGAGAACGGTGGGCGCCACCAGGGCCCACAGGCCCCACGCGGTACCCACCGGGCTGGGTCGGTTCCGAGGTCTTACCGTCTAACCTGCAAGCCGGAGACGCTTGACTCGCCGCTGTCCGGGGTTTAAACACGGCGCCGGGTAGCGGCGCGGACCGCCGATTGGTCAATTTGAATAGACCTCGCCGGTCGCAGTGCACCCTGGGAGTTGTAGTCAGGACGTCAGGAAGGGACGTCGCGCGCACGCGCAGATGGTGGCTCGGCAGCACGCATGCGTAGTTAGCCGGATGGCTTCTCGACCCTTAAGTCCCTCCTCCGAAGGGGAGCTCCTGAAAGGGTAGGGCTCCCCCTATGCGCGGGACTGCGGGCTGACACCGTGAGGGCTGTGAGTGGTGAGGTGGGATGGAGCTTCGTGGAAGGACTTGCTGCCCCCTGCTGTCCTGGCATCCTGATGCGTTTGCATCTGCACCCACCCGCTTCACCCCGAGCCTCTGACCTTGGGCTCCCTCTCAGGATCTTTTCATTTTTTTTTCCTTGGCGGTACTGAAGATTGAACCGGGGGCCTTGGCACTGAGCTACATCGCCGTCCTTTTTTAAAATTTTGAGACAGGATCGTGCTACGTGACTTGCTTAAGTCCTTAACTGGAAGAGTGAGAGCGACAGGCAGCTCCACCTGCACAGCCCAGCGAAGCGCATCCCTCGGGAGCCTTTGAGCGCCAGCCGACACCCTTATTGGCGTTGGAAAGCGGAGGCGCAGGGAACAGGGAAGTCCAGGGTTGGCTTGGATGGAAAGAAGGACCTAAAAGAGGTCATCAGGCTGGGCTGTGTCCTGTCCACTTCTGGGCTTGCTCGCCTCCAGGTGGACTGGCATTGTTGGGCCCCCGACCTAGCAGCTCCAAGCTCCCATTCACCTACCAGGGCAATGATCAATCAGTTCAGTGTCGCTAGTACCAAGCCTAGGGTTGAAGGACCAGGCTTGCCGGAGTCACAGTGCAGAGGGAGGTACAGGACCATTGTGGCAGGAGGGAGGATGGTCCAAGACTCCGGGTCTCTTGGCTCCATTCCTGCTCCCACCTTCCAGGGATTGGATCCCTGCATCCCAGGGAATGTCTGCTGGAGGTCAGGGGACCCCACCATCCACCTCTACAGCATCTCTCTTACTGTTCCAGCACACAGTAGGTGTTCAGTAAACCACACCAAAGATAAGTAAAGCCGCCACTGCAGCGTGTCTTCACTCCCTTCCTACTGACTTCTTTTCTCTTATCGATGGCTGTCCCCTGTAGGTTCATTTCTTTCCCCTGTAGGATTCTACCCAATTGAGACATTCATTCATCAACTCTCAGATAGCTCAGCGTGGCCATGTGCTAGGTTGCTGGGGGCACAAACATCCCTGGTCACAGCAGGGGAGAGAGGGGAAGTTACAAGCATTGGTGCCAAAGGCTGTGCCATACAGGGAGTGCCCCCATCAGCCCACAGGGGATGGAGGGAGTGCCAGGTGGAAGGTTTCCTGGAGGAGGGGCCAGGGTGGCCTCTTCCTGGACCACATCATGTCTTGTTCAGAAACAGTTAAAAAGACCCCAGCCAGGGTCCCCCTGGCGATGTGTCCCTAGCTCTTGGCAGAGATGACATGGCTCTTGAAACCTGAGTCTAATTTCTCAATTTGTTGGCTGGCTGGCCCACCCACTCAAGTTCAGGGAGAAGCCTGTTTTCCAGGACCCAGCCACAGGCCTGGAGCAGACATGCTCAGAGCCACCCACAAGAGTCAGAGGAACCAGTGAATTTATTGAAATCCCAGGAATCTATCCAGGCCTGAGCACACACCCCAAGGACCCATAGCTGCGAGGCCTCCTGCCCTGCCCAGGGCCCCTGCCCTGCAGCCCCTGCCTGACTTCAGTAGGAGCGAAAGGAACTTGACAACCATCTGTGCCCCAGAGGTGTCCTCAGAAAAGCTGACAGCAGCAGGCCTGGGCAGCACACTGGGGAGGGACAACCTGGCCACGCTAGGGTGGAGGAGCAGGGGACAGGCAGCATTTGGAAGTCTGGTTCAAATCTTGTTCAAGTCACATGTCAGGTCTTTGGTTTTCACTACAACAGAGCAGCCCGGAGCCCAGTCCCCATACCCTACAAGAGCACAAACTTAGAATGGGCTCACAAGCGGGGGCCGTTACCCCATGCAGATCAGGTGGAGAAACAGGCCCCAGTCCATCTGTGGACCAGAACCCCCAGGGCTGCGTGCAGCCCCTCCAGCTCAGCATCAGGAGCCGCTCCTGCCTGCTCACCCGTGAACAGGGTGCTCAGGCCACCATCTGGACTAAGGCCAAAGGTGTCAAGGTGGGGACCCCTCTCCCAGAGAGACAGGTGGCCTCACTAATGTTCCCCTGAAACGTGGACCCCCCCACACACAGAGCACATCTGGAAGACTAAATGAAAGGCTTGATCCCAGGGACATCCCCTGCAGGGTGAGCCAGGCCAACGGGCCCTGGCTTCCAGTCCTTGAACAACCAGGAAGAGGGGTAATTATGCCCTTAGGAGAATACAGTATACAGGGCAAGCAGCCACAGCAGCCTCCATGTTGGTTCTGACTGACGCCAGGCGTAGTGGCGCATGTCTATAATTCCAGCTATTTGGTAGGCTGAGGCAGGAAGACAAATCTGAGGCCAGCTTGAGTAACTCAGTGGGATACTATCTTAAAAAAAAAAAAAAAAAAAAGGCAGGGCTAGGGGGCTGGGTGAGAAGGACTTAGGTTCAAGCCCCAATACCACAAGAGAAAAAAGCACACTGGCTTCAGGGGTAGTAGTACATTATTTTAATTCCAGCTCCTTGGGAGGCTGAGACAGGAAGATTGCAAGTTCAAGGCTAGCTTGGGTAACTGAGTGAGATCCCATCTCAAAAAGTACTTGGGGGGAGGTAATTGTAGCTGAGTGGGAGAGCACTTGCTTAGCAAGTACAAGCCTGAGCCCCAGAACCACGCATGAGAAAAGGCACCCTGGACCTTAGCGAGGATGGCAAGAAAATTCTAAAACATCACATGGAAATTTGCACTCCCTCTTTCTATAAAACTGAGTTCAAGGTGGGGCCGCTCTGGCTGAATCTCGCCCTCTACCAGCCCAGACAAGCAGGCCCCAGTCCCCTGACTAGGCCAGTAGGGCCGCTCTAACACAGGGGAGGCCACCCGGGGCCCCTCTGTCGCTCATTACATGAGGTGGATGGCAGCAGCCTTGCGGATGAGCCGCTCGGTCAGGGGCGAGTTGGGCTTCAAGGCGTTGCGCTCCATCAGAAGATTCCTGTGGAAACACACAGGCTACTGTGGAATCTTCCAGAAGGGTCTGAGCCTGTGGTAGCCCAGGCTTCAGAGCAGAGGGGACGGGATGGGCCGAGGCAGGAGCCCTGGGCTCAGCTCGGGAGTGGAGAGCCACATCCCGGCTCCCAGGAGCAGGGCAGGGACATCATCAGAGAGACAGAGAGACAGAGAGAGAGAATGTGTGTGTGTGTGTGTGTGTGTGTGTGTGTGTGTGTGTGTGTGTCCTCGGCTGGGAAGCAAGTGGCAGGACACAGGCGTTGTGTGCAGAGTGCGGTGGTGGTGGGATGTTGGTGGGGAGACCCAAGGTTAAGGAGGACAAGTGGAGAGGGTGCTCCAGGCAAAGCCCCCCTTCCACCCCCACCCCCCCGCCGTGGGCTCAATGCTGGCGTCTCATCAGCATGCCTTATCAGGGGCTGCGGCCCCGGGAGGGGGTGACGAGAAATGGAACGATGGGGTTTGTGTCCTTCTAAGCAGCAGCGGGTGAGAATTCACTGAGCCCCCACAGGAGGGCGCTGTCGGCCAACCAGGCTGAGGCCGTGCTAGAAAGCGGTCTGCCCCCCACCTCCTCGCCCCACAAGCCTCCATCTGGGTCCTCCAGCTTCCGCCCCTGCAACACAACAGCTGTCCCCAGTAAGCCACCGCGCTGTGGTATTCGTCATGGCACCCATGACGACCAAGCGGGCCCCAAGTAAGGGTCACAGGGCTCCTGTGCGTGGGCAGTGCTGGGGCTGGGGTGGGGACACCACAAGCAGCCCTGCTGGATCTCAAGTATCCCCCAGAAGCCCATGGGGTCAGAAGATGGGTTTTGTGAAGGTGCGGGAACATGGAGGGCTCTGACTCCCTCAGCTGATAAAAAACTGATGAGGTCATAGTTGCACGGCATCATAGGGACCTTGTGGCACTGAGGAGGGTGGGTCCAGGCGCAAGCGGAAGGCCCTGCGTGTGAGCTTGGGGGTCTGTGTTCCCGCGCTGCAGCACGTGACCCTTGGGCAGGGGGCAGAGCCATACATGGTGTCAGAGGGCACTCATGGTCACCGGCAGCCAGGTGAGCCTGCTGAGCCTGCTCGCAAGGAAGACCGAGTACAACCTCAGGGCAGGAGCAGCCCACCCACGGGTGGCCCCAGGAGCGGCCCAGGCAGGGCAAGCCTTCCTGTGCTGGGTGCTGCAAGCGAGGCTGCTCACCGGGCCACGTTCCTGCGGGCACTGGAGGTGCAGTTCAGGGCTGCGTGGATCAGCAGCTGGTTGAAGACGTCTCTCTGCAATGTCAGTGCAGCCAGGAGTCAGGTGCCTGCCATGCGGTGGGGGGGACTCCGGCTGGCCTGACACCTGACACGGCAGCCTGCCGCTCCACCCTGGGTGACGGGCTGGCCGTCTCGTGGGCAGCCACACCTGGCCGGGGCGGGCGGGGGGCTCACCTGCGCGGCGCTGCCCCCGATCTGCACAATGCGGTAGCGGATGGGCAAGAGCAGCTCCAGTGCGCGGTCTGCGTTCCCGTCCTTGAACGCCACTATGGCCTGGCACAGGGGCAGCCCCACGTCGCGGGCCAGCAGGTGCTGGCAGTTCTCCCCGGGGGACCTGCTCCAAAGACACAGCCTCAGCGCCACCTCCCCAGGGCCGCATCCTGCCAGGGCAGCGTCCCACTGTTGGGCTGGTCACAACGATGGGGTGGGTGCCCCGCAGGGTGGGGCCCAGCACTGAGGACACAGGGCCCTGAACTCAGGTTGGCTTGGAACTGGCCTAGGAGCAGACAAGATCCCAATTCATGGCCTCAGCCTTCCCATCTGGAACGTGGGCACAGCAGTGCCAACCTCACAGCTCTGGGTGGCCAGGGAAGGCTGGGCATGAATCTTAGGGCTACCACTGTCACCAGAAAGCTAAGGCAACAGTGGCTTGAGCCTGCTCAGGGCCCCCTTGTCTCTCCCAGGCAGGTACCATCTCAATTCGTAGTTAAAGAAACTGCAGCTCACAGTGGAGATGTGTTTTGCCCAGGGTCTCACTCAGGCCTTGTACTTGGCAGGTGTCACTGGTTCCAGGACCACTGTCACCACCAGATCCACCCCAGCCCTAGGCTTTCATGCCCACCCTGGGGCAGAGGGGCAGCTCTGAGTGTGGGGACACCAGGTACACCCCCATGAGATGCAGGCCTTCCTCTCCAGGCTCCCCAATGTTGGGCCCACCCTGGCCCTTCGGGTGCTGGGGTCGACCCCACCCCGCCTCAGGGCCCCAGCTCCTGCATACTCGCTGGCTTCCTGCAGGCCGGTCAGCAGGTCCTGCGTGATCTGGCGGTCCTGGGCACCCAGGGAGGCCATCAGGAAGTGGGCATCGTTGAACAGCAGGATGTGGTCCTGGCTGTGAGGCCGCACCACGGGCAGGACATCGTGCCAGCGCTGGCCCACGGACACCCCTGGGACACAGGAAGGACACCTGGATTTCTTCACCCAAGCATCCTCCAACTTGCCACCCTTCTACCTCAGCCTCCTAGTGTGCACCTGGCTTAGCCCCAGACTCTTAAACCCCCCCAGTAGGTGGCTCATGCGAGAACAGCACCCACTAGGTGGCAGGACCTCATTAAAATGTCGTATTCATAACACCCTCTCCCTGGGGGTCTGGACTTCCCAACTCCCCACTCCCCTGTCTCTGCCGCAATCCCAGCACTACCTCCCGCCTGGCCCCTCCCCATCTCGAGCATAGAGCCCTGCTTTCTCCTCCACCACCACCGTCGCCTGTGACCACCATTTCTCACCTGCTGGACTCCAGCTGGGAGTCTGCTTGGCATAGCAAGGAGATGTGAAGCCTTCCTCACCCTGCCTGCCCCCAGGACTCTGGTCCAGGTCCCTAGCCTCTTCCCCGGCCCCTCTGCACAAAGCAGCGCAGGCACCATGAAGCCTCCAGGCCCTCCCTAAGCAGCTCACCCTGCCCTCCCTTGAGCCCACACTGCCTCATCCCCACAGGGCCCAGTCTGGGCTGAGTGGCACAGGTTTAGCTCCCAGGAGTCCTGGAGAAAGGGCAAACCCATTGGCACTCCAGCAGCCAGCGGGAAGCCATCAAGGCTACTCATGGCCAGCTGGGTCTGGGTCACCTACAGAGCATGAGGTGACAGGGCTGAGAAGTGGCATTGTCAGGGAGTTGGGAAGTTCTTGCCTCTCAGGTCCTAGGAAAGGAGCCACTGTGGGGGAGGGGGAGCAGATAGGGTGTGGGAACAGCAGGGGACCCTGGGTACAGAGCTGAGGCCACCACGGGAAGGGTAGGCAAAGGCTAGAAGAAGGAAAGAGGTTGCCTGGGACCTGAGAGGCAACCTGGGTGTGGCCCTACAGCTCTGGGTGGCCCTGGGGATGACAGCGGAGGTCGTTGGGGCAGAGACATGCTACCTTCCATCTGGAGGCGGAAGAGCAAGGAGCAGTTGTCCACCAGGTCCAGCACAGAACCTCTGTCCCGCAGGTAGGGCAGGATCTACAAGACAAGGGCCCCGGGGGTGGGTGACGAGGAGCCCATGGGGACAACCATCTGGGCCACAAAGCGGCATTGTTGGGGCTTTGGGAAGTTCTGTACTCTCAGGTCCTAGGAAAGGAGCCACAGTGGGGGAAGGGAGGGGCAGGTAGGGTGTGGGAACAGCAGGGGACCCTGGGTACAGAGCTGAGGCCACCACGGGAAGGGAAGGGGAGGGGAGCAGGAGCTGGAAGAAGGGTGGAGGTGGAAGAGGTGAAGAGCAAGCCTTCAGCGGAGAAGCCACCACCATGTTCCCTGCCTCCCCAGCCATCAGGACTGTCACCCTCACAGTGGGCCCTGACAGCTACAGGTGCCAGACCTGAGGATGGGACTCGCTGTGCTGCATCCCAGGGCACATCCCAGGCCCTGCGTCCCCAGCATAGGTCACCACCCCTGCTCCACGGGAAGTCCTGCCTGTGTCAGGAGGACCACAGTGATGTCCTCTGATGCTCTGGGTCCCAGGCTTTGGTTGTAAGCCCTCACTAGGGAATTTTTTCCTCTCAAAAAACACCAGGGGCGGGGGTGAGGAAGGGGGTAGGGAGGGTCAGCTTGATAGGGTGGCAGAGTTCTGGGGACGGGGGGGGGG